TCACTGCATGACAGATCTACGCTCAGCTCGCTCAGATCGACCTACCATGACGAGGATGGCCATCCCGTCGTAGAGATCGATACGAATCACTGGGGGGACACCATGGACAGATTGCATCCGAAGACAACGAACTTCATCGATGAAACGGTGGACTTCTACGGAGCCAACAAAGGCATGAAACGACCTCCTGGCGGTACCGCCGGCGTTTCAGCGAACAAAAAGACGAAGGTGGGTCCAAGAAGTCCCGGCGACGTACTGGGCATCCCCGGGCCATCCGATCCCTTTATTCCTCTGCGTTCCAAATTGAAGTATATAGCGGGATCAGAAGCGCCTTCGTTAGGAGGTGCCTCAGCAAATACATTCGGCAGCCCTCCGCCCCCAACCGAAGCTTCCGACCACTTTGACGAAGGAGCTGACCTAGGCCTTGACTCTCCATTCCTCCCGGCGTCGGAGTATCGGGATAGTGATGGTGAGGACGGGCATGGCAAGGGCTTGAGCCCAACTCCTGCTGCCGCAGCTGTGGGGAAAGGCAAGAGAAAGGCGTCGTATAGTTCCGATTACGAGTAGGCTTAGCCTTATTACAAATCGTCGGAGTTTTGAGAATCTCTTGTGACTCTCTTTCGAGCGCAGAATCGCATGGGGCCCTACAAAAACCAACCTTTTAAACAAATGAAAAAATGGTGATCCTCACCATCTCCTACCTTTTTTTTCATTTTCAATTTTTGAGACAACACAGTCGCAGGTTCTCTCCTTTTCTGCGGGCGTATGAATTAGCGTAACGCTGTGACTGCACTGGAACACAGCCACAGCCACTGGCACACGCACCCAATTGCGCTCCTACCAAACTCCTACTCACTCCTACCTCGGAATCCGAAGAGGTAGAACACGCCCGCGTATAGGGATCGCAAGAATGAAGCTTTCCCCCTGTTTTCCATGAAAGGCGGTGAGACCGGAATAACGCGTCGGGACTATTATCGCTCTCCGTGCGCACCCACCACTTCATCGCTTCCTCGAAGACTATTACTATAACTACGTGCGACGTTGATTCCTCGCGGTGCCCACGTCGGGTTACTCGTCGGCCCTGAGCTATACGACCGTTCCTTCCCACCGCCTTCCCCGATTCAGCGAATGCGAGGAGCTCGCTGGGCTTGACGTGAAATGGGGCAACAGGCGCATAGGCTCCCTCCCTTCCTGCCCTCCCTCCCCTCCCTCGCGTACGCGGGGGCAGGAAGGCTCCTGTAGCCGCCGCGGGCCGCTATCATACCATCCTCAAGTGGGGCCAGCTGGCTACCGGCGATACATCGATGTCGCGGCCGGTGGGTCGTCGTACACGGACAGAGATCCTCCTGTCAGCATGGTGAGTTCTTGTCTCCCGCTCTGCATCCGACTCGACCCTGACGGCGTGTACCCAGTCCCGGATGGAAACAAGTGCGGTCGCACATGCAGCCCTCGACACGCCCTTACACAAAGCGAGAACTCTACTGCGGGCTCTCCCTCCAAGTCGAATACACGTCGCAGCGTCATCGCGCCGCGCCAAGTTCCCCGATGCACCCACATGCTCGGGGTTCCGCAAGAATCGTTGTCGACTCACATGCCCGCAGTCCTTCACGTCCCCGACGGCTCAGTGCCAGCGGCACTCGGGGAGCGGGCTCCTGCAGCTGGTGCTCCGCATTCTAAATGTGTCCGCCGAAGAAGACTGCGGACGCAATGGTCACCTCAAAGGGCAAGGTGCCCACCCTCATACCGCCTTCGATGGACCCCGAGGTCATCATCTACCTCCAAGGTCTGCACATGCCCTTGCTTTTACTCCAATGTGTGACTGACGGAGCCCGTGAATATGCTAGGCATCTCGTCTCCTTTGATTGCCTCCTTGGACGCGCGACCTCGACGTCCTCCTACTCAGTTCTCTGCCCCGAGCACCCGGACCCATCGCCTCTCTCGACGACGTCAGTGTTGCCGACCTGAGGAGGGGGGCCCTGTCGCGCGCTCTTCTTTCCCGCTTGCATTTCTGGCTATTCGCGTCTCTCAAGACCCAGGCGGCCAGCCGGTGGTGCAGGAGGCGCCCGCGTGGGCGCAGACGGGGAATTGGACACTTGCAGTGCGCGGGAGGGGTGTACTTCAGGGCAGGGGAAGGCAGCCGAAGTCTGCCTCTCCGCGATGTGCTCGTGAGCGCCGTCTGTCTTCCTGGCTCTGCGCTCGCCCCGTCCGAACCAGCTGGAGGCAGAGGGATGGTCTCCCTCCTCCGGCACGTCGTATCGATGATTACAAGGTAATGCTTCCTTGGAAGACAATGCGAGCGCGTATCCTGATGCGTAGGCCTCTGCATAACGGCGTAAGGGGCTCAAGCGCCTTGGCGGCTGTGCACCTCCCTCTCGAGCGCCCATATATCTTGCATCTGCCCGGAACGCGGCAGTGAGAATTGGCCTTCCATAGCGGGAGCGATGCTCCACACGCGCCGCCGATGCACCCGATGCCGGGGACCGATCGCAGCGTGTGCCGGGAGGAGGAGCGTGTCCCAGATCATGGATGGCACCCTTCTCTGCGCGCAGCAAAACGATGCATTTTCCTTCCGGATACCTCCCTTCTCCGCGCTTGCACTATCATCCGCCTGTATCGACGACAATCGCATCCCGACTCGTACGAGGTGACGGGGATACTGGTCAGCCACCTGATACTTTTCCGGCGCGGTCGCCACGTCCACCCCACCCAGGCTCGCTACTCGCACACGCTGGGGCGTCTGCAGTCCCTCCCGACAACGAAGATGACTGCCTCTCACGCCTACTACATGTGCTGCTCTCCCGCCTCACTCGCCAGCGGACGGATGCGCCTGACTACGGCGGATGAGAATGGCGCGGTCACCCGAGTCCGCCGCAGAGCCTGCGCGTCGTAGGACCGATGCGTCGCATGCTACAGTCATTTGCTCGCTGCATGTCACCGTGGATGGCTTTTCAAAAAATATCCACGAATATGTGACATGCATAGTAGATGAAAGCGGGCAAATGACCAAGTATCTCTGCAGGCCCTCTATCCTCCCCGCAGCTTGGAACCTATTCCCTAACCATATACTGCTCGTTCTTTTGTTTGATCATTTTCTGCCTTTTGTATCCTGTCGGAATCAATATTAATGATGTAACGGTCACGCGCTGGTTATGGGTCCGCAGACTGCTCATGGCTTCAATTCATCTCCCTGACCTCGACGCGTTCTACGACCTCGAGGACGTCGAGGAGGCGGCCCAAGCGCTTTGCCTCGTTGTCACCGCGTTTGTGGATCCAATGTTGAAGGAATGTCATCTGTCGAGGAACTTCGATCTTGCGCGAAATCACAGTGCGAATTTACTGCGTTACAGCCGCCTTGCGCCGACACAAACACTCACTCGGACTCAATCAGCGGTTATCTGAGCTACTTCCTGTTATCCGTGATTTCGTAGCGGGAGGAGGCCCTGCGGCTCGGTCACTCGCATATCGCATCGCTTGCGGTACCGTCCGTCTATCGGGAGCCTAACATACTCCTACGGGTCTTGGGGGGCTTCTCAGACAACAAAACACTAAAACACTGGCTACTCGTGTTGCGAATATTTTCATCAAAGGGCACCACACGCGAGTAATTTATCTGATGCGCTTGAAACTGGACTACGCGTAACACACACCCAGATTGCTCGTGAATACCTCTGGTTCCGGTAAGACTCGGTTAATATTCGAAAGCCTATGCCAACACTGGGGCTTTTACCTCGTCGGCGCGATGACAGTAACGGAATTAGCTCCGCAGACCTTGACTTTCTTCTTCCATAGTATCCCGTACCAAACGTCTTCCAACTACCAGGTGTCTCCTGACCCCAATGAAACTGCCACGAACGTCGAAATAACCCATTGAAGCTTCAACCTCGCTCGAAGAAACTATTTCCTGGCTCTCCCATGGCGATTCCAATTCGCCTGCGTTTTGCCTTCCCTCCGCGGGTAACCCAGATCTCATATGTGTGCTTCGGTTGGCCGAAGGCACCTTCATCCGGGTTGTATTGCATGCATCGGCATCGATCTCGGCGCTTCGCAACTCGAATCTTAGAGCCATGATAAACAATACGGATGGCAACAACCTGTTGGCTTTTGGGGTGCCTCAATAACATCCTCTATTGCACGCTTACTTACTTCGGACTTCCCCTTAAAAAATCAGGATCAACGTCCCGACACACACGAGCCGCTCTTCAAAGCCTTCCCCCTCGACCATCCAGCGCTATTAGACCTACCATATTTAGTTTAGACACAGGTTTATTCAAGACCCTGACAGCGACAACATTCTCGATACTTGAAAAGATGGTAGCCGTTCGGGAAAGCGTCGTGAGCGTCCCTAGTCTCTTATAAACAAACGGTACAACGATATTCGCTCGTACCTCGCGATGTTGTATAAACGTCCCACGGTCGAGTCTTCGGACACAACTCTGGCAAGAAAACGACAAAAAATAGGGGAGCCCGTCCTAATGTCGCAGCCCATCGTGCGTCGTAGTGATATATTTTGGGTCAGTTCTCAAAAGTTCCTTTGGTTTCATCTTCACACTTTTCACTTGTGGCTACATGTATGCATGTAATGTAATTCAGGTGACGGTCGTCTGAGATTGCCTAGAAATTATATCATAGGTATCCGCTGACATATAAGGCTGGGAAGCCCACAGCCCTAGTATGGAGGTCTTATATAGTCCCACTCGGATGTGTGGCTACGCTGTTTGCTTGATATGTGCTCACATGCAACTAAGTATTAAACGAATTCTTACTCATGCAGTTCTTCCGCACTGATAGCAAGGTCAGGCGTGAGTCTTCAAAGCTGCATACGATCCCCGAAGTGTCCGGCTTCGGGGCCACCATATTCCTTTTGTTGAATTTAATAAGCGTTCAACGGTTCAAGTCCCTGATCGCCACTGCCCTAATATAGACGTGGATAATCGATGGCTAAAGGACTTGGGACCCATTTGAAGTCAGCAAAAGGCATTAGAGAACGAGGCAAAAAGGAATTCCGGTACGGGGAATCGAACCCCGAGCTACCGCGCTTTTCAAACGCTTACGTAAGCATCTTACGTAACCCAAATTTCTTGAAAAGCGGTAATGTTGACCGTTACACCATACCGGAGTTGTAGAGGTCCACAGGAAGGTATATACAATGCTCAGGAAGGCCCGGAGTCCAGAGGAATACAACTTTCAACTTTTTTGAAAAACACGTTCAAAAGTTGGTGTAGTGTCACCATAACCGATGAAAGATATTGGACCAAGTCGAGAGGGGCTTCACTGCCTTGAGCGATTTGTATGGTATATGAGGGGGGATGGTAGAGGGACGGCAGGGAGGGATATGAGCCAAACAGCGTCGATATCGAATGGCTGACGTTGCATAGTCCCAAATGCAAGTTAAATCCTCTCGGCATCTCCTGACGGGATATGATACATGCTCTACATGTCCTCCAATATTTCTAGAATTCTCCGAGCCCGGGGGATTGCAGCGGTCACGTCCAAAGAGCGGTGATGGGAAAGTGATCGCATTTTGATGGTGGCGGAGAATTGATGGAATCGCCTACCCCTTGAATTGAGGCGAATTTCGAGGGCATGAGGATGACCAGATCACCGCTGTGCTGCGGAAACTATTTTCTTTGGATAATTTCTAGCGTTCAATGGAGGATGTCTCGCCAGAAGCCCGTATTTGATGGCATCAAAAAGCCTGAGAATGGTTCATCCGAACGAAACCAAACAACATATTCATAGGGATGCCCAAGATCATAAGTAGCGACTTGCAACGGGAGTTCAACGTCGTGCGTAAAGGGCAGTAAGCAGGGGATACTGCGGCCACAACCACCTCGATTTGCCATCAAGATAATTACCACAAATGTGTCACATAGGTTGACCGTTACACCATACCGGAAACAAGCAAAGCGTTGGGACTCGATTCCAATGTTTGCAAGACGTGTATAACAGATGATTCGACGACTTGGCAGGCCTCGCAATACACACATAACCAAAGAAAGATGCTATGCGGGACATAGTAGCCACCGCCGAAGCAAACAGGAAGAGCGCGCGCCTCCTCCGCTTGGCATGTCAGCCCAGCAAAGCGTGAAATAGCCGAAGCGCGCGAGCGGGTGGCGCCCACGCGTAAGGAGCCCGGTACACGGTCCAGCCTTCCCGCCGCCCATACACCGCGGGAAGATACCGTATGTGCGCACTGTGCACAGATACCGACCGGAGTATTTGGAGCGCAGACGGTAGTCAGGGCCGCACGCGTCCGCCCGTGTCCGCCCCCGTGCGCGTGGAAGCAAGCAGCGGGTGGGAGGGGACGATACCATCCCGTAAGGCATCATCGCGCAAGAACGACTGCGCGTGCTGGGAGAGGACGTGCACGCTTGCTAGGCGCTCGCACTCCCGGCGCCAGATCCGCGGATGGCTGGCCAGACTCGCGGCATCAGCTGGAACCCACACGCGACCCGCACCCGCGGGGCAAGCTTGGGGAGCCACAATACAATAAGTAAAATGCCTCGCCAATCCCACAAGCCCCGCCCGCCACGCATCGGGGTCAAAATCATGCGAATCCCATCCACACTCAGTGCGCGGGAGGACACGCCCAGCGACACGGTCTGCACGTCGGACATGACGGCCGACACCGGAGGATAGAGGGAAGAGTGCGCCACACCCGTATACAAAGAACGAGGAGAGGATGGCTTGCCCATCTCCCCTGGACCCTCCTGCTCCTCCTCACTCGTCTCCCTCCCTGCACCGTTATCCTACGAGCGGCCGCGAGCCTATCGTCCTGTCCCGGCTTCCGCGCCGCCTGCAGCTCGTGCCCCAATTCCCGCGTCAGTTGCAGCTCCGCCGGCACTCCGCGGGGGTGTGCTTGCACGTACGTCCCCGTGCGGCAAGAAGGCGAGGAGCCCGCAATACGAAATTAAACGCAGTAAACGATGTGCGCAGCTCCTCGCTCCTCGCTCGCCGCTGGGGGAGAGGAAGGGCCTCGAGGAGCTGGGAGAAGGTGGAGGTGAAGACACAGAGAGCGTATCGATTGCGCCACCCTCCATGGATGCCCAGGTGCCCGGCAGGCACAGCAGGCCCTAGCGCGCGGTCACCATCCCGAGCCCCACTTGCCTCCCCGGCGTTCGCGCGGGGCGCCATCTTTCGATCCCCGCGAAGGCGCACATGCGTCCGCATCCATCGCCGACCAACGAAACAGCACGGGGGGGAGGGCAATGACACCGGCGGGCCCGCGCATGGGAGTGCTATCTACGCCAACGGAACGCGACAGACGACGAGACAGGAGGGGAGGGAGGAAAGGAAAGGAAAAGACAAGCAGAAAAAAAATTGAGAAAAGAAGGAAACGAGGAAGGACCGCGCGCGAGAGCGGCGAGGGAACCGCCGGAAACGCGAGCAGGAAAAAGGCACGCAACGAAAGGAAACGGGGCTCCCGACTATCGGCGTCGGCGTCGGCGTCGGGGCGTACGACTGCGCACGAGCTCGGAGCGCGAACTCATCGACGTACCGCTCGTGCGGCGTAGCGGGTGGGCACGAGCCGGTCTAGTCTTCATCCCTCTCCACTTTACTATCACGCGCCCGCGCCCGCTGCGCCTGCATGGGCGCGAACGCCCGCCTCCGCCGAGACCCCTCTCCTTCCATATCGTGCTTTCCCGCTAACTCTCCTCCTCGTTGCGGATGCGCGTGCGCACGTATCGGCGCCGTACGTGTCGAGGGCGTCGAGAGTGGATTAGTGAGGGGAAGCGGAGGCCGAGATGAGGGCTTCAGGCGACGGCCACCGCGAGTATAAGCGGCCCGAGCGCGATGAGGAGCGAGAAGGGGGTAGGGCGGTACTGAAATGGGCTGCCGCCGCTGCATCTTGAACGACGTTGGTGCGTCCTCGTCAGAGAGGTGGGGGTGGCCGAGCGGTCGTCGTCTTGGTGGTAGCTGAGGTGGTCGACGGGCGGGTGGAGCTAGTCTGGGACGTAGGAGACTCCGTGGCGGTGGAGGGCGCGACCGGGAGCACCGCGATGCCCGCGCGCGCGGTCCAGTGGCTGACGAGGATCCCCGCCGCGCGGGGATCGTGCTGGTGAGGGCGCTGCTGATGCTTCAGGGACGCCGGTGGCGGCGTCTACCTCCCAGCGCGCGCAGCATACTGTGCGGCGGAGCCATTCGGGCGACGCATCGAGAGCGTCTGCCGGGGGCGCAGATGCAGTGGTGGGGGACGTGGTCGTCTTCGCCATCGAGGTAGTGCTGGTGGGGGCGGGGGCGGGGGCGGAAAAAAGGATGGTATCTCAAAGCGGATACGGGGGTTTGTGCCGACTTGTGCTTCCAGCATGTTCGAGGCAGCGCGCGCACGCTGTGTGAGTGCCGAGATCCCTTTCTTCAGCAGGTCAAGGGTGTTAAGGGCTGGTTAAAGGCTCAAGTTAGCGTATTCCTCGGTACGGCGAAATGGAGACACACCTTCGAGTGGCACGATAGCAATTTCCGGGCGACCATGGCGGTACCACTTCTTCACTTGGTGCAGAACATGGACGAGCACGCGAGTTTCGACCACCACGACGTGCGCGTCCTTCTCGTCTACTTAAATTCTGTGTCTTCAATCCCGCCCTATCGATGGCGCGGCGAGCATGTCCTGCCGCAATTACACATTTAGTACCTCTAGCACCACTGGCGTGGAAACTCACGGAGGGGGTCGTCATGCTTGGGGCTGCATTTAATCCACTGCACGGAAGACAAGCTATCCATAGCCCGCCCCGTTGGGTTGGTCGCTCCAATTAATACCAGAGTGTGGCGCAGTGCGGCGCGTGGCGGCTAGTACTCATCGCCGGTCTGCTTCAGCCCAGTGGGCTATGTTTGAGGGCAGAAATGGACTCTCTGGGCTGGATAGCATGCTGGACACGAGAGAAAAGCGCGAGGTCAAATTTGGTCGCGTCCGAGAGTCAAAGTAGATCCGAATCTGCGCTGTTTGATCGATGGTATCCTCGCGGATAAAAGGACTTCTATGTATGCGCGAGCTGGAGCACGGTGAGGTTGCGGTGAGCAGGGAAACTAAAGGCACTGAGGATGACTAAGACGGTGGCTGTACCTCTCCCTCTTGTTCTCAACTTTCTCCTGGTTGCCAGTTCGCGTATATTTCACGCATGGGCGGGACTTTCAATCGAAAACTCCACGTTGAAGCGTTAAGTGGCCGGTCTCGATGCCCGCTTGGCCACTTGGGCCTCCATAAGAGCCTGCAAGCCTGCAGTGTTTCTGGCCGATAGCGCCGCCGCGCCCTTCATACTTTGAGTTTGCCTCGAGAGATTTGCACCCCGATTTCGAGGATGCACTAGTCTGGAGTTTACCACGCGCCCGGTGTTACGAGCTCGACCTTATTACATAATCGTCGGAGTTTGAATCCCATCAAAGGCTTTACCGCTTCAACCTAAATACAACGGACAAATATTAAGAGGCCAAATGGCCGGGATTGGGGTTCTGATGAGATTCATCTCCTCAGAATTGTTGTGTGACCCATTCTCGAGGAGAAATGAAACACTGCCGTTTACACGTGGCCAGCCCATCAAAATTCGGCATCGCGATTGCGCGGTCCGGGTGAGGGAAATGACCGAGAAAGCTGCTTATTCGGGTGCCCTAGACGAAAAATCCACCACAGAATCTCGAAAGACAAGTCGTAACCGTCGTTCAAAAGCTCGAGAAATTTAAGATTACATAATAAGGTCGAGCTCGGATCAAACGCCTCGGGTAATCGACAGACTACAACATCGCGAGGTACGAGTGAATTTGTTGTAGCATCTGTTTATAAGAGACTAGGCCGATGTACTGTACGCTACACCCCTGGCATGTTCCGAAATGGGACCGCGCTGGGTTCAATTTATCCTGATTCTTATCCTAAGGATGCACCGAGGTGTCAAGAATCCAGTTGGGTACCTCCGAACCTAGCGAAGTCACATTCAAACGAGCAGAAGAAAATCCCCTGGCGATGGTCGCCTTCTAGCACCTAGCGAGCGCGCTCGCATCTATGCCAACGTCGAACGTGAACTTTGGGCCGTGCATCTAGATATCCAGGGCTCATGCAGCCAAGCAGCCTTGATTCTAGTTTTCGCGCCGGCTCCTTTCGTTTCTTCAAGGACGTTCGTAGCGGTGTGG